ACAGAAGCTACTGAGGTGTTGGTGACTACTGTGTCAGAAGGTGGCGTTGTCACTACATAGAAAAATGTCTCCAAGAGTGAATGTATTGCTAGATGTATAAAACAAACAAGGTAATAAACAGCTTGGCTACAGCACTTTTCATATGCAGCATTTAAAGTCACAATCCCTCTACAGGTAAATCGTTATCCTAAACATCCCATCACGAGTATCATCCTCCCCCTCCCTTCTCCTCAGTCCGGGGCCGTCCACCGCGGCGCACATCTCCGCTGTCCCCCATCCCATCGTCTCCGTCTCCGTCGATCTGCGACCGTATCTCTCGTACAAGGAGACAGCGTCGGTCGTCACTTACCGGAGCCGCCTTTATTAATTCCCGACGACCCGTGATACCTTACGGGCGACGACCCGAGCTTACGGGCGTGAGGTCAGAGAGAGGGCGAGGGGGCGAAAACTGGCTACTCGGGCGACGAGTGAGGATTTTACAGACGGGGATCCATGACCGGGCGACAGACAGTGCTCACTCACAACTCAATAGGGGAGATTGAGACACGGGTTAGGGCGAGGTCAGGCCCGTGACGGCGCTGGGGAGTGGAAGAGAGTGGAAGAAGAGGTAGCACGCACGCGTGGGATGAGCACAATAACATGCAAATGGATGCCGTTCGTCACTCTAGCGAAGTCGTGTGCCAGCTCCGTGTTGCAGGAGCTGGATTGCAATGTGTGCATATTGAGAGAGGAAGAGAACAGAGATGGTGAGAGTGGCAGAGCAATGTCTTACACGGCATGGCCAATCCGAGATATACGAGTCAGCGAAACAGGTGGACGCTTCCCTTCATTGAACTTCTGCTCACACTCTCATTTCATATCCCCGAAAGGGAATTGCTTTACTCGATCCATTATTCTGCATATCTTGCCATCCATTTTGAAAGGGACTACTTAAAGATTCACATAACAGAAATAAGACGACGATGCAAGGCATGAATCACATGCCTGCACAACTGAAGTAAAAGTTGGTTTGTTATTGGACAGAGAAACGCATCATGAAATCTTCATCAAAGGCGTCCGGAAGAACTGCAAGAACACACCGCTATAGTCCATGGCCGAGACACGCATTAATTCACACACCACACCTCAAGTGCAGGTACCGGCTGCAGTGTTCCCACGGCAAAATGCAAAGAGGCGCCGAAATACCTTATCAAATGCCGGCTCAGTTTACACAGTGTAAATGAAATCGTCCATTTTACGCAACTGTGGGTCATTTTCATATATTTGAGTGGAAATATATTTTGAGCTAACAGAACTGCCGTATAAATGCACAGCCTCCATTTCCATTTTTGTCGCAACTCTTGATTGGCATCACCCTTCAAGCAACACTATATCCGAGAGAAAAGAAAACAGCATTTATTTTACCCACGATTTGTTACGTATCGTAGTTTTGCGACGCGTCTCTCCATTTTGCATTCACAATGCATATAAACGTTTGGAAGGATAATGCAACGGTGAAAAATAGACACACAGCAAGTGCACAGTCGTACTGGAAATGTTTGCAAAAAGTGGCGTGCACCCCGCTCAAACCGGTTCCGATTCAGGCTCTCAGTCAGACAGCCTCACCCACCGCGAGTTACGTGAGCACTGAGCAGTGTGAGCACATACCATCCCTTCTCCGGTGAGATAATACTGGAACCTGAGTCTCTTAGCACGGGCCTGTCGGCATTGGAATGAAAGGCATGGCGTGCATTTACCTAATGGCCCGATGACCGAATGCTTTAACATTGCTGCCGCGTCGAACGGTCAAGGTTTTGCTACGTGAAGGTTTTGCAATAATTTCAATCGACGTTATTGGACATTCTTCAGGGGTCTTTTTTAAGAATGCACACAACGTATGCTGCATATTAAAAACAATATATATTCTATCATTTGGCTAGGCTTACAGGTGTTCGCTATGTAGGCAAAGCATAAGTCACGGCAACCTTGAGGTTACAAAATAGGCCTTTCTTGCACGACTTTCTTTCATGACCCTGTTAGTAAGAAGGACGGGGGATTTATGGTTGAAGTGTCTAGTACAATTTAGTTTGATTTAAGTAGGCTTACAGGCTTACGGAACAGTCGACCCTTTTGAAACGTGTCATAATGTTTTAACTACCATGTCCAGCTTGGCTCTAACAAATCGCCTGAAACTTTCCAACAGTTCGCCGTCGATATACAGTTCGGGAACATCCAAAGTTGGCCGTCCAAAGTCTGTGACATTTTGGCACGTGCATTGTCTGAACTCTAAAAAACGCCTGCGGTCGAAGCAGGCATTGACTCGGCACAGGTCATTGGTCAAGCATCCTTTGTTCCACATGCGAGCTGGCACAAATACAGACTACCAAAGACCCAGCTGTAAACAATAGGTACAGGCAGTCAAATGGCGGTCGTCAGGCAAAGTAGATTCATGATTGCCTTGGCATAGGTCATCAGATGTGCCCACAGCTTTTGGACCGACACCAGATGGGTGACAACCATGGTCAAGTTTTCTTCTGTTCGTGGTGAGTGGTATGTACCCAACAAAGCCGTTTCGGTATTAGGCATATCCTTTCGGTATAATTGAAACTTCGATAAGCCCAGAAACGACTGTCAAGACGCTATGGTTTGGATCGATTCAACCCTGGATCATGTCAAACCTTCATCTATGGCCGAACGGGCCTGGGCTTTACGGTATGAATTTCTATGGGTATAAACTTCACGTTTGATCGTTTACAAATATAAAACTAAACGCCCGTAAAACACATATGAAACACTCGCTTAGATTGACATGCAGGGAATAAAACTCGAAACAAACTGAATCCTGACATGGCACAAAACATCATAAATGTATTTTTGGTCCACTAGAAAAGCCGAACTTCCCAAGAGAATGAGTTTTGGGCTGGCCACTAAGCATCGTCAGCTTATGTCAAAAATCTGGCGACTGTCTGACGAAGCCTCAATAGTTTTATGTTAATTTTGTATATTGGGGGAGCTCTTGGCAGTGGAACGGGGGGAGGGTGCTCGGCACCCCCCAAATCCCTTAATTTCCCGCCCCTGAATGCAGTGCATGCTTATAATGAGCGGGGCCATACCAGGTGGATCTAACATAATGCGTATCATATGTAAGAATGCGAGGCGCGGCGGTAGCACTTCAGAAGAATTATGCATGCAGCTGTGTTACTTTCAAATCAAACTGCACGATTGCGTCGGAATATTCGCATACCACACCACGATCAGCATTGCTTAGCTTTGCAAGCGAGGTATGTGCGGAAATAATTTCCCGATGGGCAGGAATGCCTTGAAACATTCATATCATTTTGTAATTTTTCCGTACAAGTTCGCTCTGGATGCATGTGGCCAAGAGAACCTGCAAAGCATACTGCGGTACGGTGACCGAATAAAGTAGCCACAAGATGGTTTCCGCCTTACTTACCGGGACCGCGCAACCTACGAGTATGATAGTCAGGCATTGACAAATACATGCTACAATGCAAATACATCACAAAGTAGTACAAACACATGCCTCTCATTATTTATAACAAAACTCTTTCCGCATTGCACATTGTTGCCACTTCTCAGACAAGCGCTGCCCATATCTCACGGGTATCCATATGGATGGGGAGTTTTGGTGGAGAGCGCTCGCCACACCGGCCCCACCTGCGTTTGGTAATCTGGACAAATGTCGGCATCGCTGCCCTGGGCGCGCAGCGCCGCCCTGACCCGAAACCGAAACATATGTCTGTCTGTCAGTATATGTGTTTGTGTGTCTGTCTGTCTGTCTGTCTGTCTGTATGTCTGTGTCTCTGTCACTCTCTAATTAAATCCATACCTTCTTTCTCTCTCCTTCAATCCCCTCCCTCTCCTCTCTCTCTATATCCTCTCATATTCCGCTCCTGTCTCTCTCCCTCTCACTTTTATCTTCCTTCCCTTGCCTCACGCCATCCTATTCCCTCTTCCTCAGGTCCTCTCTCTCTCTCTCTCTCTCTCTCTCTCTCTCTCTCTCTCTCTCTCTCTCTCTCTCTCTCTCTCTCTCTCTCTCCCTCTCTCTCTCTCTCTCTCTCTCTCCCTCTCCCTCTCTCTCTCTCTCTCTCTCTCTCTCTCTCTCTCTATCCCTCAAATATTCCATATCCCTCTCTCTTTTATCTCTCCCCTCTCTCTCTCCCCGGGCGCGGCCCGTGTCAGCCAGCAGACAGCAGACAGAGCCGGTCGACATATGTAACAAAATCAATAGCTCTCTCTGCAGTTGAGCCGACCGGCGCTGCCATACTACCGACGGTATCGCACGGACCCCGTCGACGACGATGACGGCGTCGACGCTAGCCAGAGGGCGCCCCGGCGGGGGCGGGGGTGGGGGCAGACCCATTACTCCGATCGGCACCCCCGCCGGGAGCCCGGTGGGTGGGCCACCGGGCTCAACGGCAGGATGTCAACTTGGCTGCTAATGATACTCGAGCAGCGGATATGACACCAATGAGGTCAGTTAATTGCTAGCGGTGGCTAATTTCAAGGCGGCTTATGATCGCGTTATGGTTTCTTGCGATCGAAAGAATATTTAGGATATGCTGCATCGGAAAAGACGGTGAATTAGGATGGGAATAGTGGGGAAAGGAAGAAATATTAATAACTCAAAGACAACAAAGATATCGTGATTGATGGAAAGAATAATCTGCAAAATAAGAACGAGCTTTTATGTATGTAAAAACACGGCAACGCCCAATTCCTCGTCTTCATTTGCACGAACCCGGCCTGATTAAAATAAAGTAAAGAAACGCACCTTGATCACATTATCTGTCAAATAAGGATCGTCATCGCCCATGGCCGTAAAGTGACAACTTCCGACTAGTCTCCAGGCTGGACAGACTAGCTGCGGACGGTCGGTTCTCACAGAATCCTCCCAGGTGTCTCCTGATAGCCGCCGTCACCGACATCACAGAGGGTACAGGGGGCGACAATTTGGCCCCACGCGCAGCAGATAACACGGCGCTATTTAGTGCAGCCGAGTAGCTACAGCTGGGGTCGGCGTGGCTGGTAGAGGTTCACTGGGTGACAGTGTGGGGGCTGAGTGAGAGCGAAGCAAGGAGCGTGTGAAGGACGGCTGTTCAACTACCTCATCACCATGCAGCTGAGTGTGACGGTCGTACTGCTGGCAGCGCTGGCCGCTAATGTACACGGTGACCTGATCGAGCACTTTGAGTCCGGCATGGGTGACTACTGGGTCTCCTGGAGCGATGACAACGGCGGACACTGGGTCAGTTCAGTTGGATTTTGGTTTGCCCCTCAGACCGCTAACCAACATGTCTCTCTTCCACCGGTCCGGGACAGTAGATCTTTTTCACCAGCTCAGAGCAGCGACCACCACCCAGACACAGAGCTAAGCGAGTTCATCAGCAGCCTGTCGAGGAGCTAGTCAGTGACAGTCTTGCCCTGGCATATTACTGTTTCCGTGACATGGTCAGGATTTTGTCCCCGCAGGCGCTCGTAAAAGGCATCCCGATACACATGTGTCTCGTGATGACCGCACCGATGACTGCGCTTCTCTCCGCAGGTGTGGAAGAACACCTCGCTGATGGAGGTGCCGCAGCGGCCGGCCGGCAGCGAGGGCGTCACCATGCTCATCCCCGACGAGGGACGCGTCTCCGCAGCAGGACATCTCTACAGCCCGCTCTTCGCCTTCCCGGCAGGAGCGAAAATCTCGTGAGTGGAAATATCGTGAGCGAAAAACTCGTAAGCGAGAATCCCGTAAAAGAAAATCAGAAGGGGCAGTGCGTGTGGGAAAAATGTTTGTCGGCTTATGTGACTGCTAGCTAGGGATAACACCAAGAGGCGAAGTAATTGTTTTGGTGCTCCTATTTTCATATTTACGTAAAAAAAAAAATGTTAAAACGTTACATCGTAACGAACTAACGCAACTGATTTCGTCCTTTTAGCTCAGTTATGGCGACAACTTCATGTCTTAACGATAATGCTTCGGGGTACACTGATTGCTTTCATGTCATTCTTGGCTCTAAATGACTGACAGCATGGCGACACATTCTTAGGAAAAGTATTTGATGTTCCTTTGCACGGCATGCCTGCACCCAAATAGCTTTCTGCCTAGTGCCGGACATGCAACTCTTTGAAACTCTCAGTTCTCAGGTACAAACATAATACGATTACGGTCCATTGCTTAAACATGCGACTTTAAAGTCGCCATGCAAACCTGCAGTTTGCAAGCGTCACTCTTATGTCCGACATTGATGGCAGTCCGATTCGGTATGCGGAATGCAACATGCATAAACGATGGCTAACAGTGCTGAACTCGAGTTCAACTGCCCCGGACATTGTCATAAGTTGCTCAGTTGTGAACCACTGTGCTAGTTGTGGCGGTGGGTTTGTGCATTTTTGTAAGCAAATCATCAGGATAGGGATGGGTCGCTTGTCTTTTATTCTGTCCGTCCTTTACCCTCGTTTTGTTAGTTGTCAACCGCTGTAAGCCCGTCGGTCGTGTTTTGTCCTACACAGATTCCCCATAATCCACAACACTCACAAGCCCATCGATCTCTGTATTGACGAAGTGTCATTTCTAATCTTCCTCAGGTAAATGATAGTAATTCGTATTCGTTTCGGGCTACACTGAGGTAAAAAATTGTTAAAAACCAAATATTTCGGCTTTATTGAGTAGCCTTGTTCACTGGTTTGATATATATGTTTAGTATATAAATATTTGGTTTTTAACAATTTTTTACCTCAGTGTAGCCCGAAACGAATACGAATTACGATCTCTGTATCTCACGCTTTGCCTCAACATGTCCACCGCCAACTTCAACAGGTTCAGCTACTGGATCCGCTCGCAGTGGGTCGGCTCGGCCAACCTGATCCTGAAGCTGGTGGAAAACGGCCAGGAGGACCTGCCGTTCCTAGACCTCTCCAGTTTCGCGGCGCCCGACAACGACCAGTGGCGCCAGGCGGAGGCCGAGGTGCCCAGCTCGCGCTTCGAGCAGACCAGGGTGAGAAAGGATCCCTCGATGTTGAACGGATCACGGTAAGGAGGGAGACCTTGATGTGGAAGAACCAGGATGAGTGAGTAGCCCTCAGTTTCTACCAGACCAGTAGGGTGAACGAGGTAACCTCGATGGGTGAGCAAGCTGCTCCTGATATTGAACAGACCAGAATGAGGGAAGTGCCCTTTGGTCCCAACCAGACTAAGGTTCACAAAGCACGGATTAGATACAGATGCTATGAGAGTTCAGCCGTATAGTACATCAGCACTCACGACGCTGGGAATGTGAGTAAGGAACAGGTGGCCCAAGGGAGAGGCAGTCTGAGACGATGGAAATAAGACGGTATACGGTACATGTGAACCACGGGCTGTTAATAGCGACTGTCACCGACCGCATCTGAAAAGACCTTTTGTAGGATCTGATATAACCAATCGACGCTGTGCTGAATCTGAAATAGTCTCGCCCTTACGCAACTTCTCAATTTCAATAAGCTCCTCTCCGATGATCGATTTTATGTCTATGGTATTGCCTGGCGATTCTGTGAAAATGATAACGCGAAATGATTATCTGACCGTCTCCTGTTTTCTTCTGTCTTTCAGATATGCGTGTTCGGCTACCGTGCTAACCACGATCTGGACGCCATTGCCGTGGACGACATCGTCCTGACGGGCGTGGACGGTTCCCAGGTGCGCCTGCCGCTTTCACCGAACATGGAGTAAAGGGGTGGACGAGTCCACGCACCGGGGTATCGACGGGAGAACGTCCAGCAAGGGAGTTCCGACTCAACGCACACTCAAGGAGCTCCAAAGCCAGAACCGACTGAGAAAGTTCGAAGGCAAGCAAGCGGGGAGATTTGGAGCGCTCTCGGCAAAGAGCTTCAACTGCGCACAGGATGTAGCTCGGTGCACTGGCTTGCTGTCTGCTAAGACCAGGGTCAAGCAGTTCTGTTCTGGATTCGCAATGTTCACATGTTCACAACTAATAGTGTACTTATCCCAAAGTGATGTAGTTACCTCTCAGTCTTCCCGTCACATACACCTCAGTTGTTCGTTTTTTTTTGTTCAATATATCCCCGGTACTGTCACGAAATAACGTTTCCAATATGACTGGCAAATATTGTCGAGGATTTCTATTAGTGTCCGGTTCAGTAATCACTCCTGCCGTGGCGCGTGTCAATAACATGCGACTCGGGACCTACGAGAACAAAGTCAACCGTACGGCGCGGATCAATAGATTGTGCGTCGTCACATCACGAGAAATTATCGAATCAAATAAGCGGAAAGCGGAAGCAAACCATGGATCCATATGTGGTAAACGTACTTCTCAAACATAATGTCTTTCCGCGTTAGTTTAATAGGTTTATAGTGGATCAGCAAACGGGGTCGACGCTTATTTCCGTGGCTAAAATATCGTGAAGTCGTTTCGTCCGTGCCTGCGGCGCAGTTGGCATGTTATGGGGGCGTACGGTCGATAGGTCAAAGGTTCCGTTAAAGTTTGTCATACAGACTACATATTTCTGTCCCATAGAGTAAAGTGCTATGACCGCCACTTCCAGCAGGCAGCATTACAGTCATAAGCAGCACTAATGACGTCCTACGCTACGGCTTAGCACTACGGCCCATGTCTACCGTTCAGCACTATGGGCTAACTAGCACTAAGACTCAGTGGTCAGCACAATGGGTTAGCACCACGGCTTAGGCATACAGACCAGTCTCTCAGCACTATGCGTTAGCAGTGCAGCTCAATACTAGTCAAGCTATGCAGCTCACGCAACGCACATAACAGTGGCACCACGAGCCGCCCTGGCAGACATTCACACTTAATGACCACCTAAAACGGACCAGAGTGTCAGGTGATACCTAACCATCGCGGCAAACCCCCGCATAATACTAAAACGATACTCAAACGGTAGCTTTAAAAACAGCAAACTGAGCTACAGCATAGAAAAGCGGGTGTAATTAGCCTGTGTAACGGTTAGCGTCTAGTGAACATGCCTTAAGTTGCTGCCAGCTACCAGTCAATACGCATTCAAACGCATGCAAGGACCACTCTTACTCCCGTAGTGGCCGTTCCAAGAGGTTCGCCGTAAGCCGGATTGTCTCACCATATATTGAAATCACAACTACTAGACACCAACTGCACGTATTAAAATCTATATCTGCCGTGAGCCAACGGTAGCGTCGGAGACAGGATTGTCTCCGCGGCAGAGGAGACACACGACCAGTCGCAACGGTAAGATGAGCTGATAGTCAACCGCTAGGTGAAATAGATACCCCCTCATTGCCTGCTACAGACTGAGCTGTACCCAACTAGGTTGACCCAACTCACGATTGACTGTGCTTTGTCATAATACCGCCCGTGTTTGCACTTCTATCACGGATAACTGAACGATACGATCCGCTGCATCCCTCCTGGTTATCACGGATAACATAACCAACCAACGTTTCCCGATATCTCTGTGCTCTCCAGTCATCCTGCCCGGCCCAGTGTCTTATTTGATGGACGGACACCTACCTTCTTCCCTTCTGCTCCAGTTCAGAACGAAAGCAGCGACTAAGTCCTCAGATCACCCTCTAATAGAGCTTGGCAGCCCTCCCGATACAAGACATAATCTGCACACGCGCATAGAAATAAAACAAAACTAAGTAAACACATAGACGGAATCGAGCATCACGCGCCGCGCGATTGTCAATCGATCTCACTGCGTCACTGATTCTGCAGAGGTCGCCACCACTTAAAGAGGTCGCCACCGTCGCTCGTATTGCCAATACGGCCACAGTGGCCCACGACCGGGTCTGCTAGTCTGTCCGCAAAACCCAGGTCTCAGGGTGGCTCTCGGGACCGCGACCGGTCCACGCACTCACTCGCACGCGGTCCGAGCTAGTGCGGTGCATGTGGTTCGCGCAGTCTCCGCAGTGCGGCGCCACCATCACAGAGAAAAGCGTCATCAGCTGACTACCCTGCGCCGGCCATCACACAGTGTCGTCTGCAACAGAGGAGCCCACTGGCCTGAACAGGTGGTCCGGAAACTATACCAGGGAAAGGGCCACCGCTGGAGGCATCAACCCGAGTGATTTCCACTAGGACAGATTGATCGTCACAAACGAAAAACTTGACGGAGCGGATGAATTTCCAATTATCTGAAAATCGGCAAGAATTCGAAGGTACAACGTTTAGCTGAAGTATGTAAAAAAAGGCTGAAGAGAAAGGTCCAGGCAAGGCCATTAACTTCTGATGATAGCAAACTACAGCTGATTGAAGCGAGCAGTAGCTGTGATAACAAATACCATCTGATTTTCTAGGCAGGCGCCTCTAGCCGTACAAAGCTTGCTCTGTGGCAGTAACTCACCATGATACCACCAGCGAGTCTTCTTGGGGTTTTTGTTGCACGTTTTCACGTAGAAGGCATCATCCGGGGGCCGCTTCTGTAGCAGAGAGGAAGGCGAGTAGGTTCTGTCAGCACATTGTTCATTAGTCAACACTCTAATGCAAAAGTTGGAAAGAAATACACGTTTTGTTCTAGTGAAATGGCCGATACAAGCTCGTATACAGGCAAAACTCCACCAAATGTTCGAAAAAGTATTTTTTTGGCTTATCATCCACATTTACAGTTAGTTTTCTGAGACCACGTGAGCTTCAACAGAGTCTGATGGACGACCCTATCTCCCCATTCGCTGAAATCGTTCCATTCTTTAAAAAAAAACTATAGAAAATTCACAAGAACTCATAAAAAACCCAGCGCCCATCAGTTTACAATCTACACCCTACACAGGAAAGCGTACGGTACACCGGGAGAGGAGCGAGCCATTTTTTACTCAATGCTCAGTATGAGAAGAGGAACTCCTTCGTCATCCACTCGTCCTCACCTTATCCTTGCAGCTGGATAGCATGGACGTGATGGAGAGGCAGACGGACGCGACGGAGAGTGCCGGCGACCAGTCGTCCGTCAAAATCGACAGACAGATGTGGCCGTTACTGTAGATGTGTGGGTGCACGGGGATGTTGGGCCGCATAAACACCACCTGGCGGATAGACAGAAAAGCTGTAGCTCACCGACAAGTCGATAGGTGGCAGGCGTTATCGGGTAATGCACACCAATGAGGCGGTCAGTGGGCTCAATGCTATCGTAGTTCGTGGGCCGAACAGTTCGCTGATATCGCCGAGGGCAAAAAGGCACTCCAGAGCTGCGGTTCGATAGAAACTGGCACGGGACGACATAAAAACCCTCAACAGGACGCGCAGTGATGGAGTGCATGCCAAACACGAATACGTAAACATACACGGGCACATAGCACACAGTGCCTAAACGCCGTCAAAACATAGCTCTATCGCACCATATCAACAGCGCAGGTTGCCTCCTTCAAGGAGCCCTGGCCGGAGGCAAAGGATAGCCACTTCTTCATTTCTGACTAGGCTGTATCAGCCGCGGCAGCTCCGCTGCGCAGCAGTTGAAGTTGGGTTGGGAATCCCCCACAGTTCACAGCTAGGTCGGGCCGGGGACGGCCGGCCGACAGAGCTCCTATGAGGCATTTAGCGTTCAAGCTGTGGGTCAATTAAGATGGAGAGAGTAAGGAGAGAAATGGATAGAAGGAGAAAACAGAAGGGGAGGAGATAGGGCGCGAGAGGGAGAGAGCTAGAAAGAATGAGAGAAAATGAGGGAGGATGAGAAAAAGTGAGAGAGGGAAAGCAAGAGAGGGGGAATGAGAGAGTGAGCGAGTGAAAAGCCTCACCTCCGGCGAGTCGAACGGGTATTTTTGGCTGAACCGGAAGTTGAGCCGGAACGTTTCTCCCTCGTACAGGGAGGAGGCCGGTCCGGCCACCGAAACCGTCCACCTGAGGGTCAGGTCAGGTCAGTGACTGATTCCACCCACTCCCCGCTCCCGGGCCTCCCGAACAGCGCTTCCCGAGTCATTCCCGCCGTCCCGCCTGCTAAGCGCGGCGGTTATTCATGTTCATTTTCCGATCGTTTTACTTATAGGTTGTCGATGCGCAATAAACATTCTGGAATGGAATGGAAAAATGGTTCTCCGCAATCGCATCCAAGGACGGTATGTATGCAAATGAAGCCGCAACATCCTTCCACAGTCGATAGCGCAGAGAGGTTGTTTTGCAGCGAAAGCATGTGCATTGCAAACCGTCAGCTTGTACGAATACCATCACTTGACAACTGAACTGAACAAACACCCTCTCCTGAACAGGCATCGGTGAATACCCTCCCCTTCAGCATAAATACCCTGTCCGGACCGCTATCGGTGAACCTCCCATCCCCTCAGCACAGAAGCCCACTCCTGGACTCGCTATCGGTATCGGTAACCCCTCCCCATTCAGTACAGGAACCCCTCCCTGAGCCGTCACCGGGGGAACCCCCTCCCTCTCTGAGCACCGCACCGCGCGCCGTGACTTACTCGGACAGGTTGTCTCCGATTTCCTCCGGGTCGACCGTGACGCCCGGTGGCGGGTCGGTCGTCAAATTCAGCAGCTCTTTCTGCAGACGACGCTGACGACAGACAGAGAGAAACACTGTTCAGACAGACATACGGAACGAGCAGGTAACCAGGCAGATATACCTACATGATACAGCCCCACCCGTTCATGCATTACACAGGTTATACACTTCACAGACAAGCAGTTCATATAGTCACTGCACGTCTCCAGCCTTTACTGCCAAACATACATGTGTTTATCAAATGATCGCTCAGTGGACAACGGACCAGTCCATACTTATTATCGAGTTTTGCTTGTCCTATCAAGGTCAAACACCGCATGAAATGTAACACATAGATCAGGCGATAAATGGCTACAGCGACAGTAGAACGGCAAAAAACTTCATACACTGGCCATCTTTATCCTATAAATAATCTTCCATAGCGCATCCATCACCTTAGAAACACATAGCCATCATTCTTGAACCGAACATCCCCAATACCCAATAACACCTGACAGTGGGTCACGGTGGCTTCCCTTGGTCAGGGGCCGGTAGTCAGCCTACCACCGTGCCAAAGCGCGGCTACAGGTGACAGTAAGCCAGCGCCGGTCGTATAGGGAAAGTCGGCACCCTGCTCAGTGGCTGGAGTCAGTGGAGGGTTTACGGTGTGTGTGTGTGGGGGGGGGGATGAGGATTATGTGGGGAAGGTGGACAGTGGATGGTGGACGATGAACTGTAGATTGTGGAAGATTGTTGCAAATGGTGGATGGTGGACAGAGGACGATTCATGACAACAATGGATGATCGATAATTGACGGTAAAATGCGAACGGATAGACGATGGGTGCCTACCAACGCCAGGTGGCTGATAGGAGACCGCAAGAGAAAACAAGACGAGTTGACTCACTCTCGAGTAGAGTCGTGCTCCAGACTAGCAACTCTCCACCGAGAAACAGTAGTCAAGCACCTCAACGAACAAGCTCTGTCTCAATGAATGAATATCGTGAGCGCTGGATCATATCGTGACTTTCACTCCAACGTGGACTGTCACGCACCAAGCTCTTGAGTCTTGACGTGCCTCCCATGAAAGCTCATGCAAAACGAAAATAACCAACGTGAATATGCTCAAACTCTGAAGCTCTCCAGGCACGGAGCATACCCCAATGCATTTAAATGAGCAAATATGGCGTCCCAGCCGGCACCAGAGTTGGCATTTGGTACTTTGCGGCGGCAAATTCAATTCTACAGAGTGTGTCTCTCGCCGGCACGGAATGAGATAAGACATGGAACGGCCACCACCTGTCGGTCGAATTCCATTCACTCAGCAATCAGGGGCCAGTGACCTCGGTCCCAGGTGGCAGGTAGGAGCTCGGGAGGGCCGGGGTGGCGGTGGATGGGCGGTAAAGTGGCAGGGGCGGCCACCTGAGCAACGGGGAATGTGATCCCGGCCGCGCTGATGTGATGCTAGAGAACAGGCCCACATAGGCCAGTGCATACTAGTAGATAGTGAGGCTTTATCAGCCAGGCAGTGTGCAACTCACATATCGTCACACGTCGAATAAAAAAGGATAACACGCCAAGTCCCATGACAATATACGGGTTGTAATGTCCACCGCCGTCTCCGGATTCCGATGTATTCTCACAAACTCGCGGTGCAAAACACTAAGGCACTGTCGTGCTGTGCGGCCGGGCGGAGCCTCTCGACTGCTGGCTCTGACTGGAGCCGAGCAGGGTGCGGCCGCCTCACACTCGTATTACCGGGGGCCCGATGCCGAGCCTCGGACACCCGATGCACTAGGTACTCGATACACTACACATTCCCCCCCTCTCGCAAAAAAAGGAACAGCATCACTGCGACACGTAGTAGTCCGGTCGTCTACAGACACGGTCGCTTCGCCTGGGACGCTGCACGCTCACATCGGCGGCGTCCGGCGACGGCTCGCAAGCTGTCTCGGTCGACGGGCGAGAAGCAGCGGCGAGCGAGGTCAGCGGGCCAGCGGCGTCGGCCTCGGAAGTCGTGGCGGTCGACGTGGTCTCGCCGGGCCCAGCGGAGGGAGATGCTGAGGGAGACGCCGGCGCGTATGGGAGACGGGCCAGATGGGCGGCGTTCCAGGTCCGGCCGTCAGCCAGACGGTACGTTGCGGGACCGACGCGCCCAGTGACTCGCACCGGAGACGTGAACCGACAGGACGTCTTCGAGCGGTGTCCCTGCCGTCTCACGCAGACGTAGTCGCCCTCAGTGATGCGCGGCGTCGTCACGCCACGGCGGCGGTCGTAGGACCTCTTGTTGGACTGCTGTCGGCGTCGAACTCGAGACGCCACACTGTCGGCTCCTGGTGTTGACGGCTGAATGACAGGCAGGTTCAGCCTCATCTGTCGTCCATGCAGGAGCTCTGACGGTGACTTCCCAGTTGTCGTGTGTGGGGTGGCTCGATACACCGCCAGGCTCTTGCGTACCTCGTCAATGAACGCTGCTGGTGGACAGTCTGTGATCCACGACTTGAACGTTTTGTTGAAGCGCTCTACGGCGGAGTTGCCTCTAGGCCAGTAGACGGACGATTTGGTGTGCTTCACCCCTCGGGCGGCCAGATACGCAGTGAACTCCCTGCTCGTGAACTGAGGCCCATTGTCCGTCACGATCTCGTCGGGATAGCCCTCTTTGGCCCACACAGTTGACAAGAACTTGATGACGTCTTCAGTCTCAGTCGATGACGTCAGGCAGACTTCCGCCCATTTGCTTCTGTAGTCAATCAGAGTGATGGCGTAACGGGCAGTCGCTGGTGCTCCGTTGATTGGACCAACGATATCCATTCCCAGTTTCGACCAGGCGCGGTCCGGCAGGTCGACTGGCTGCATGGGCGCAGGGCGTGCGCGCTGGGAGAGGACTGCGTCGCTGTGCTGGCAGCGCTCGCAACTTCGGCACAGCTCCTCCACCTCACGGTTGATGCCGGGCCACCACGCCAGATTCCGCAGCGCCTGTTTCATGCGGACGATTCCGTCGTGCGCGCTGTGCGCCAGCTCCAGGTATCTGCGGCGGAGCTGAACGGGCACAACAACTTGTTGGGCTCCTCTCAGGATGACGTCGTCGTTGCGCACCCACAACTCGTGTCTCATCTTGAAGTACGGCTGGACTTCAACCGGGCAGGCCTTGGCGCTGCTCGGCCAGCCGCGCTTGATCTGATGACGCAGCTGCTGCAGCTCAGGATCAGCAGCTGACGCGGTGCGGACGTCTTGCTCGGTCAGCACGCTCTCTTCATCTGTCAGAAGAGCGATCACCTCTTCTTCAGCGGAGCTGTCTTCATGCAGGTCCGCTTCTTCGGGGTGGCCACGGACCATTGTCAGTGAGCATATCTCGCCAGGGTCGGGCTGAGACGGTGGCGGTTCCGGGACTTCTGCGCTCCCAGTGACCGCCAGCGGATCGATTGCCCCACTCGCGGGGTGCAGGTTTACGTCCAACTGCTTCAGCAGGTCCAGTCCCATGACGGCTTCTTCACCGTCGGAATCTATGATGAAGAACTCTGTGTTGGCTCGCCGTCCACGGTAGGTCACCAGCGCTGGCAGCGTGCCAAGCACTTGAAGCTGGTGTCGACCAAAACCGAACAGACGAGCAGACGTTCTATTGAGACGACTGCCTTTGAAGAGACGTCTGGCGATGCCGAGTCCTAAAGCGGACACCGTGGCACCCGTGTCAACTTGCAGATTCACGGTCTGCGTGATACCTGGTACCTCCATCTGTACTTCGCACATCATCTTATCAGTATTTGGTACGGCGCAGCAGAGAACAGTCAGCTCGTGACACCTTCTGTCGTCGTTCCGTTCACCAGACCAGCAGACCACGGCAAAGTGACCCGTCCGCCCACACTGCCTGCACGTGGCCCCGGTAGCGGGACACCGACCGCGCTCATTGTGCTGGCGCCGACCGCAGCTGGGGCACGTGTCCGGTTGCAGCTGGGCAGGTCCGGGGCGACGTTCGGCTTGCAACTGGGCAGGGGCGGGGCGGCGGTCGTCTTGCCGCCGGGCGGGTCGCCAGGGCCGGCGCCCGCGGCGCTGACGAGCGTCAGATATCTGATGCAGTGACTGCGCTCCGTCGGCGGCGGGCCGCGCCGGCCCGGCCATGGCGGTCGCCTCGCGTCGGGATCGCTCGAATGCCTCGGCGATCTCCAGAACGCGGTCCAGGGTCAGGCCCTTATCCTGCAGAAAACGCTCGCGGAGAATCGGATGCACTGTTGCTTCCACGACTTGGTCACGTATCATTGCGTCTGTCATTTGTCCAAACGAGCAGTTTACTGCCAGGCGGCGCAGCGCCGCCACGTAGTCGGCCGTCGGCTCGTGCGACTCTTGCCGTCGCTGCCGGAAGAAGAACCGCTCCGCGATCACGTTGACCTGAGGTTCATAAAACTCGGCGAGCTGCCGCTCAGCCGCATGGAACTCGTCTTCGTCTTCTCTCCTCGGCTGGACCGGTAGGGTACGGTACACCCGTTGCGCCTCGGCGCCGACACAGTGCAGAAGGAGAGCCGTCTTCCTCTCCGTGCTGTAGGCCTCACCTCCCAGGGCAGTCAGGTAGTTGTGGAAACTGAAAATCCAGTCACTCCAGGGCAGTGCTGGTTTTCCTGGTCTCGCCAGGAACGGAGTTGGCGGCGACACCCCCTCGACGTTCATCGTCGGTAGTATTCAGGATCTCATCCTCGTCGCCAGATGTGATGTCCACCGCCGTCTCCGGATTCCGATGTATTCTCACAAACTCGCGGTGCAAAACACTAAGGCACTGTCGTGCTGTGCGGCCGGGCGGAGCCTCTCGACTGCTGGCTCTGACTGGAGCCGAGCAGGGTGCGGCCGCCTCACACTCGTATTACCGGGGGCCCGATGCCGAGCCTCGGACACCCGATGCACTAGGTACTCGATACACTACACGGGTGCTTTCCTTTTCTTACACTTTGAAATGCGTAACAGTCGCCTCCTTAGCCCCACAACTACACCACGAACGCTACAAACAAGCTAGTTACTAAAATACACATACTAAGCTCTAGATGTGACACAAAAACTACAAAACTGGGTGATCATTTTTGAATGATA